TATAGCCATAGACCGTGTTTGTTCAACCCGAGGCGGCAAACCCCATGCTTGGAGACGGAGGATCTATATAGCAATTGCTTGTTCTTCTTCAGGCGTTAATCGTTGTTGTTTCTCGCCATCCTGCTTCTTCGTAGCTTGCCTATGGATACGACGATCTAACGCGCCCTTTGCTAAGCCATACTGACGTGTAGCCTTGCGTATCGAGAGGGTTCCTTCAGAGGTATTCCAGTCATTATAAGCGAGTTCCAAACGGACCTCCTTTGGTAAATCCAGAGGGTCTTAAGGCGCTATATGAGGTGGAACAGGGTTCTGAGACGTGGTATTGATAGTGGGAGGCATAATTAATAGCTATATAGGCTTTTGGGTATTGATATGTAGGTAAACAGGGAGGATATTGACTCGGGTATGTGTACTATTCGATCAAAAATGCTGCTTACTAAGCAAATGCCTCATTGAGGGAACCCTTCTAAGCGCTGATTGATGTAATACCTGTGTATATGCACAGATGTCCAAATAGTTGAACGAAACAACGCCACACAAATACACAGTGGTAAATGCCAAGATAATGATTGGTCATCTTGAGGTCATATACTTTGGCTTTTGCCCTCCCTAAAAAGCGGATATCCACAACAAAGGTCCCTTGATTGCTACCTTTTAGTAACCGTTCTGTTTACCAGTCGCACAAGATGCTGGAATTTCTTCGCGTAACTTCACCGTCGCACGCCTTGCCCCACCACGCTCGAGTCATCGATAGACACTCCACCGCCCCACACCGCCGTCGTCCTTGAGAAGCTGCCAGATCCTACATTCTAGCAATGGTTGGGGGAAGATTTTGGTCAACTTGAGATGGCTAGCAGGCCAATACCCACGTCGGTAGATACTGTCATCGTCGGCAATGGCCCCTCCGCCCTCATCCTCTCCTACGTCCTACACGGGAACATTCCCTATTACAACCCCGCCAAACCTCACCCGGATCCGATCTTGCACACGAAGTTGTCCCCGTCATGCTGCCTTCTCAACATCAACATACCAGACCTGACCGCCCACTTTGCTGCCTCCCGCCTCTCCTACTCCACCCAAGCCCTCCCAGTCAACGTCCTCCTCGACACCCTCCTTCGGCCGTTGGCAGACACAGACCCCGAGGGATATGCGTCGTGCGTGGAATGGCGCCTTGAAGAAGACAGAAAAGTGCGGCATCTTGTCCTTGGGAATACTGCGCAAGCCGGAGGACAGTGGGCGGACAATCCGGTATCGGCAAGTTGGGACATTGGCACCCTGAGCTACTCCGAGATGCTCTCTCTACCCGGCTACACTTTTGATGATCACTACCGAAAAACTCACGGAGGACCAGTACCCGACTTCTATAGGCCCCCAAGAGGAGAAGTTGCTGCCTATCTCGCAACGTACCCTAGCGTGGTGGGGATCGCGGATTCCATCTACACAAATGAGGAAGTCCAGGACATTAGCAGGGTGGACGATGGCTTTCACATTGGCTCACACAACATCTCCTGCAAAAATCTCGTCCTAGCCTCCGGTACCTTTTCGAACCTCATACCCCCACGCCCTCTCCTTCGGCCTCTGAATGCCCTCCCCCAACCCAATCATACAAGCGAGGCACCTCTACTTGTCGTTGGCTCCGGATTCACTGCTGCAGACGTCATCATATTCACACTGCCGACTCGCAAGATCATTCACATATTCAAATGGGATCCGGAAGACCATCCTTCACCACTCCGTGCCTGTCATCCAAGAGCATACCCTGAGTACGCCGGCGTTTACAGACGCATGAAGCTTGCTGCGCAGGATGCGCAGGGCCCCCAAGGCACAACCTCTGCGATGAGAACCAAGAAGGCAAATCCGTTCTTTAAGGAGCGCAATTGGGACCAGGTCTACGAAGGGCTTCCGAATACATGCATTAAGAACGTTGAACTTTATGACGGCAGCGCTCTTCTAACCCTTGAGACAGCGAATGGGAATAGTATACAGCGCAAGATCTCCAATATTGAATATGTCATCGGGAGGCGAGGATCGCTAAGCTACCTTGACGAAAGCATTGCAAGAGACATCGGTGCTTTAGAAGATCAGATACCAATCAACAAAGCTCTCATCTCCGGTCACACCCTTCGGCCTAAGGTTGAACAGAGTCTTGAAGTTGCCCTGAATGTCTTCGTCACCGGAAGCTTGACTGGCGACTCCCTCATACGCTTCGCCTACGGCGGTTGCGTCTTCGCAGCGCGCGAGATCATGAGACCTAGTGGCTCAAGATCCGGCACATCGAGCAGCACTCCAAGTGCTAGCTCTGAGAGCTTGTCGACGGCGCCATCCTCCCAGCTTGACTTACAGCTGCCCACCCAAGGTGCTGTGATCTCAGCAGGCGGACACTCGGACCTAAACTTGGACAAGAAAGCTCGAGCATATGCTAGTGACCAGGAGATCGGGAAATGCGATATGTGGCCAGAGCCATGGTGATGGTATAGGGGTTGTGTTGTCTCTTGACTCTCCATCTACATTTCTATGCACATATTTGGTGGCTAGATCTTCGAAAGTTTGATGGACACAGCTGCCTAGACTGAATTCCTTGGTTGTCATGATTCAGATATTCTCCTTCTTGTCTATACTTTAATATCAGTTCCTGCATAGCACCTCTGCATAGCGACGGCGTCAGGACCATCTCCATGAGATGTACCATTGCATTTAGATTATATACTCTTAAGACAACATAACGATGGGCATTTTCCCCATGCTCCAGGAGATTCGTCAGCGGTTACTATACTAAGCGCCAGCTAACGGCTGATGTTGTCCACAGTCTGGAGCAAGTACCAATCATCGGGGGGAGTCTCCCTCATGCCGACCCTTTTCTTTCAAGCTGGCAACGAGCCCAAAGCATGCCTCATTTACTCCATGCCGCTGATATAGTAGTACCGCCTTCCCTCGTCTTTCAATATCTCCCGACGCCGCTCTTGAACGAGCCTCTATACCTAATCATCCTCCTCTAGCTCGTCCTTCGTGATCCTCGTGATGCGCGACGCAGTATTTTCCCATTTAACGCACTCCTCGAGAGGAAAGCGTCTCATCAAATCGTTCTTTCACAAGGCCCTCCGCCGACCGCCGACCTATCTCCTCACCGCGCAGCCTCGCCCTATGTTGTTCCACTTTTAAGAGAGAACATGCACCAAAGGAGGGTAACTACCATCACGATGAGAGCCGGCAAGCTCGAATCAAAGCTATGGAATCCTCTGACATGCGTAGGGCCTGATTGCGACTTCGTTTCACAGAAGAGCCCAAAGCCTATCCTGGTGCAATTCCAGTGACTGCTGCTTGCGCTCATGGTATCGTTGATCGTTGTCGAAGCAGAATTGGCGAGGGCTGGCATGGCGAGTGAAGATTGCGCCGACGTTGTAGAATTGTTTCAGAATGACTGTGGTTTCTGCTTTCGAGGGATGCTGAACGCCCTGAAAGTCTGAGAGTACAAAGCACAGTTGGACTTCAGAAACATGGTTGATGAGAAGCTTACCCAGTTCGGCAGGAGCTTGGTAGACGAGAGAGACACTCTCTTTGCGCATCAGCCTCAAGCAACTGGCCCGAATACTTCCCGCAGTCAAAGCCCATCCATAGCCTGCAGAAATACGGCTGGGGTGAGCACTGTGTTTCCATCCAAAAGTTTGAGCCTAAAAATCAAGACTCCGAAGCAGTAGACAGGGAGTGAAAGGCCCGTCCGGAAGCAGAAGATTAACCAACGTACAAGCCTGCATAGTTAAGAACAAGTAACAAACAGCTGTCTTTGAGTCGATTATGTGCCAAAATTCAAGTCGCTGGAGTAGTGAATAGACAGATTGGAGGGCCGTGGCCCCGAACAACGCACTTGATTCTGAGGTTCAGCGCCATGTCACTGGCTATTTCCCACCCTTTTGGCAAATTGGACATTGGCGCAAGGCCCAGAAATCGGTCTCTTCACATCTATACCACTTTCCATTCCCTACCTCTCTACGCCTCATCCCCAGAAGATTGTCCCATACCCTTTTCGCATGGCCTCCTCCAGTCCATCGTCCTTCAAGCATGGTTGATTCTCCATATCTAAGGCCACCCCCGCTTTCATCCTCATTTTCATTATCAATCGCCTCCGCTTTTCAGGTCGTACTTATACCTAGTAGTGATATGTGGCTCCAAAGAGAAAGGCAAATTGCAAGAGTACAAACGCAGCAATAATGATCGGGCCCACAACGATGATGAAGGCATGAAGACGTAGAAGGCGAAGACCAGCGCGTCCCAAATGATGTCGAACCATTGGTGAAAGCGTTCCACTGGCGAAAAAGAGCTTGAGAGGGTTGGCTGTAGCATCTTTGGTGGTCAGCAGGTTGACTAGAGGGGATTGAAGGTATGGTATTGATATCTTAGAGCAGAAGGTTAGTTATAATGATTGTAGCAGAGTCGCTGCCGACACTTTGAACCAGCAGAAAAATTGGCTTTCTCCTGAAATAAATAGAACATATTTTTCTTCTGAGCACCGAAGAGTACGGCGGGGTCACCAAAGAGGAGACCGCATGTGAAGGCGCTACCTAACTCTGCGTCTTCTTGTCTGTTTGCGAAGTTTCTGTTATTCTCTCAATCAATCCACTCTGCTCATACATTTCTCCACGTCTACTCAAAACATCATTCGATATGGCTTCCACGAAGTTTCCACCAATCCACTGGCCAACCCTCTGGAGGCTTGTGCTTCAGATTTGCCGAATCCTTGCGCCGATGCCCCCGCTTCGTTGCCCACATCGGTAGCGTTCCAGTCTTGTAGCACAGCTTTTTATGTACAGGTAAATCCGCAGAGTGCGTTCTCTCTCCCACTCGAAGCGGGTGACGTTGGGTGGAGCTCCGCGGTGTCCACCACATCTGTAGGCTAGCCGATTCCAAAAAAAATGGATTGGAAATCAGTGTCCACCTTTTGTACCATCAAACAATTGTATCTAAAATTGACAAAAAATGAGCACAATGGTGCTTTCAAATTTTGTCGACCACGGTGCGATTCGAACGCACAAATCTTTGGTGCCGAAAACCAACGCCTTAACCATTAGGCCACGCGGCCAGAACATAGAATTGTCTTTTATTTAATATATTATAGCTTGAACATTCCAATCGTAAGAAATTGACGTGTGTGCTGGCAGGCTTACCTTGCCAGATTGGGGAGTGGTTCTGGTTTCCACCATAAGGTACAATCTTACGAGTGACTTAATAAAATTGGAATTGGCCAAGAGGTCTGTCAAGTGTAACTCAGCTATGGGCCCTAATATTGCATGTGTCTAGCTCTCGAACTCATGCGATTTCTCCTTCGGTTGCTTGAGAACAGCCTTTGTATCTCCGGCAAATCCCCGTGGAAGACAAAACTCTTGGGATCTTTGCTCTCTAGAAGAGTTCACTGCTCAGTGGGCCACCCGCCCGGAACGAGTCCCTCAAGTGGTCGTCTAGGCGACAGATTTAGTGCCCGGAATTCCGAAATTGACCTCTTAATGGGGCTGCTCTAAGGGTCTCGACGATAGGCTTTAGGGTAACTTCCAGGCGCTCAGCAGTGTGGCTCACTGAGCGGTGAACTCTTCTAATAACAGCACGACACCGGATTCTAATAATAGATCTTCGCGTACAAAGCTGTGGAGGTCCATAATTTGCGTACAATGATGACGGCGAAATGGGTTGCAGCGGCAAAAATTGGGGCTCTATTCCCATATAAAATGGCATTCCAATTTTTTTATACTACCGCGAGTGTCCAACCTTATCAATAGGACGTTGCTCTAGACTGATACTGTCCTGTCCGGAACGATCAACGACAAACACACCGCCTTGCCAATTCTTTGTACTCCCGGAGCGTCCTGTTGCCCAGTCTCGGGCCTGAGTCCCGTTGTCCACATCATCACTCTGGGTAGCAGACCCATCACACCATCATGTCCGCCTCTCTCCCCGGCAATCGTGACCTCCCCGCCTCCCAATATGACCTTGATACCTACTGGGGCCGTGTGAAACAATCCGCCGAGATTGCTGATCCGAGGTGAGGAGACGAACGGGGCCGCCTCACCAGATGCTGGTGTGGTAGGTAGACCGCAATGATTGCCTAAGCACAGGCCTGAACGCTGACAATGCGGCATCAGAACCCTCTTCGTCTCCGCGTCCGGCCTTGAGAATGCAAAGAAGCTCGTCTCTTCGTACAAGCAGGGGGAAGCGAAGTCGATGACACCGCAGATATGGCAGGCGAAAAAGGTTGTGGATTCTACGCTGCATCCTGGTATGATCGCAGGCGGCGTGAAGCATCTGCGGGGGCTGATAATACCAGACACTGGACAGCCGGTCTTCCTGCCCTTTCGTATGTCCTGCTTCGTCATATCGAACCTCATAGTCACGGCTGGCATGCTTACGCCAGGTCTCCAGGTATGCCATTTCTCCCATTTGAATCCTCGCTCCTGCTAACCAGACGCAGACAACCGGCACCCTCCTCTGGCAAATAACGAATCAATCCCTCAACGTCGGCATCAACAACGCCAACGCCAACAAGTCCATTCCGCTCTCTGCCTCCACATTGGTCAAATCATATCTCTTTGCAGTTTCAGCCTCGTGCTCCGTTGCCCTCGGCCTCAATGCCACTGTACCCCGACTGAAACGACTCTCACCCGGCGCCCGAACGGTGCTGACACGGCTCGTCCCGTTTGCAGCAGTTGCGTCAGCAGGTGCTCTTAATGTCTTCCTGATGCGCGGGGAGGAGATTCGGCAGGGCATTGATATATATCCCACACTGAGCGAGGAGGAGATGACGCAGAAGGAAAAGGATGGAACGGAAGTGCCGAGCTTGGGAAAGAGCAAGAAGGCGGCTACGCTGGCTGTGGGAGAGACTGCGTTGAGCAGGGTGCTAAACTCGACGCCGATCATGGTATTGCCGCCTTTGATCTTGGTGCGGTTACAAGAGAAGCAGTGGCTCAAGCAGCGGCCGAGGATGACGCTGCCGGTGAATTTGGGTACGAAATCCTCCTAGAAGCTGGGATCATGGTTACTAATTTCGACACAGGACTCATTCTTACAACCTCCATCTTTGCTCTACCTCTCGCCCTTGCGGCCTTCCCTCAAAGACAAGCAGTGCAAGCTAAATCTCTGGAAGAGGAGTTCTGGAACAAAGGTGGAAAGGATGGTAGGGTGGAGTTCAATAGAGGAATCTAGGTGTTTTACGATCTGTATTGCCGTGTATATGAACAAGGGAACAGTTGTACATAGTAGATGCCAAACAGGTAGTAGCCAGAATGGATGATTTTTTTCATTTGATCGATCACGACCTCCATCTCGCAAGCTATTTACAATATCCGGTCAGGAATCAGCGTCCTTGCCTATTCGTCCATCGCCCGCTCTGAGGGGGCCTCAAAGTGGTGATTAGACCGCGCTGGTTATGCGGATCATTAAGAGTTTCTATGATCTGCTGCAGCCCTCTCCACTCCACCACCTGTCGGACCATATTGGATCTCGGGTACCACAGATAATACTCATCACTGCTCTTAACGAGATAACGTGGCTCCCCATCAGCGCGACCATCGTTGTAAAGATAGCAGGTCGGTGGGTCCAAATCGACTTTGCGCCAAGGTATACCGTCAGCTTCATCAGGGGATGTGGTTTTGCTCCATCCTTTCGGCACCTCGTTCTCAGGGATTTCATATCGGCCTCCATACTCCGGCATCTCTTCTAATTCCGTGTCCTTAATGCCTCGCAGGTGGTACTTTATCAAAGCGTGGCCGATGTCATCCTTATTCGTTGGCTCCTCGATGCGACAGAGGGTGTATGATGTTGCATCGTAGACGTAATGCTGAGAGTCGCACTGGAAGAAGTCGGCATTGACACCATCTGCGCAATTGGAGGTAAGGTATGGTACTGGACTGTACAACCCATAGTGTTCGAATGATATGTACCGCTGGTTGGAAAGGAGAACTTTGGGATCATTCGACCAGCCCTTGGGTACAAGATTAGATGAGATTGGTTCGGGATCCTGGACATTTTTAGGGGGGAAAGGCTTGACCGTCCGCATACGTGGAGTCTTGGACTTATCCTGAGTCAAACACCATATCACGCCGGCTAAACTGTATGGTTGAGTGATGAATAAGAGTTTCTTCTGTTGGGCATACCAGAAGAAATATCTGGTTCCAAATTCTATCAGATAGATGGTCTCAGCCTTATTGGTCCCAGCCTTGTTGGTCCTGACCAGGGTTGGATCGACATAGGTCCAACTCGGGTGTAGACCATATGATTCAGCGAGGAATTTGCGATCGAGCTTGGCGAGCTCTGTGGGATCGTTTGACCAGCCTCTGGGAACTAGGCCTTCGAAGTACTTTCGTTGGTTGTCTTCAGGCTTGAATTTAACTGGGTCAGTATAGTCTAATCGGTTACCACGAAGAGAAGACCTCACCAGAGTTTCCAGCACAGGATCGTATTTGGAGCTTTGCTCGTGTGTTTTTTGATGTGGTTCCGGTAGTATACTAGAGCGATTTGACGAGTCACTTGGAGGAAGTGTTGATGGTACACTTGATAGCGATTTGCTTGAGTCGTCTGAGATTTGAGAGGATAAAGAAGACTTTCTGGAGGAGCCGGAACTGGAAGTATCTATAGAATCTGTATCTTGTATACGACGGGACTGAGGTTTGGGGTTTGGAGGAAAGGTAGTTGGCTGTAAGGTAGACATAGTTCGTGAGTTTTCTTGGGGCTCCCGGCGATCACCTTCTATAGATACAGGATTACTTACAGGAGGCATCTTGTTGCGCTTTTTCTCTCGATCAGGCGCGCCAGGTAAAGATTATGGTCAGGCAATATAAATTTGAGAGATTTGAGGCTTTCGCTACTGGTGTTAAAGGATGAGGGAATTGGTCCCTCGGGAGTGATGACTCACCCAGCCCTACGGTTTTTTAATTGTAAAGGATGAGTCTTTCGGGAGTGATGACTCACCTAGCCCTACGGGTTTTTAATTGGCCACTAGGGAACTTCATAGCTTTCGTTATCAGCAACAATAGAAAATAGCTTTCATTATTGACAGCAGGAATTAACTTTCGTAATCGGTAGCAGTGAATAGCTTTCGTCATTGACAGGAGCCAACACACAATCCCACTGTCGCGGCTCTTGAAATCGCTATAACGCTCCCGGAACTGCATAGTGTCTCTCGATGGAACTCTCAAGAACCCCATTGCCTTCGTTACAGCTACCAGTATCCCAAGGCTTTGACGTTAGATTACATGTTGTCGCATATCCAGCTCCATAAAGGTGCAGGAACGACCAGACTTTGTGACATGCAATTGCTACCTGGCGTCTATAGACCCAAAGCAATTGAGTCCGCCGTTCAAACCTCTGAAGATTTTGAAAACATTGCCAGGGATGACAGATAACAATGCTTATCTGGAGGACGATAGCGCATCATGAGGGTAGATGTTCTTTAATCTTGTGGGGACTTCAGAAATGATGATATTGAAGATACCAAATCAGAATAAGATGCTCGAATTGAATATGGTATTAACTTCAACGAGTGAATACCACATCGATAATAGCATGTGAACTTGCAATCTTCCAACGAGTGAATACCACATCGACAATAGCATGTGAGCTTGCAATCTTCCAACGAGTGAATACCACATCGACAATAGCATGTGAACTTGCAATCTTCCAACGAGTGAATACCACATCGACAATAGCATGTGAACTTACAATCTTCCAATACTTCAGACCTTCAGTCTTACATCTCTTTCTCCACACACTGCTCTCAGCGACAGCTTTATATAAAGCTATATATCTAGAAATTCTCTTTTCTAGTGGCTGGTCCGCCTTCGTAGCATTTGCCTCTCTTTTTATTACCGTCAAGATGAGCCTCAACGGCGATGTCAAGCTTTTTAGCTATTACGAGCTGAGAACTGTCTTCAGTTGGGATGGAAAGAGGGTATGACAAACAGCTCCATGGCGATACTCTGATATTAATGCAAATCTAGTTCTTGGATTTCTTGGACTACGCAGCCGGAAGCCCTAGGCGATTCAACGTTCCTGTAGCTCATCGCGAGACTCTGGCTGAGATCGTCCCCATCCTCC